ATGTGATACTGGTAGGAAGGGTAGGATAGACCACTATATCGGTCGATATGGTCGAAGGGGTATGCCAGCACCCGGATAAGCTAAGTAGTATATGACTTATATGTTTATGCACTAGGATGCTATGTGGTAGAAGTACGGGGTGAAATAGTCCCCAGTACCGGTCGAAAAGGACCAAAGGGATAGGATAGCACCCTAATATCCTAGGCAAGGTACCGGTCAAAAGGACCGAAGGGATAGGCCAGCAGCTTGATATGCTAGGCGAGGTACCGGTCGACAGGACCGAAGGGGTAGGCCAAAACTCTGATATGCTAGGCAGTTACTAGTTGAAAGAGATCGAAGGGGTAGTCCAGTACCCGAATATGTTAGACAATATGAATATTGTATGGTATGTGGTATGATGGGGGAACTCACTAAGCATTATGCTTACGATTTTCAATTTTTGTTTTAGGTCCTTCTTCCTCGAAGGGAAAGGAGTCGCATGGTAGTGGGGCATCACACACACGATTTTCCACATATGGGATTCTTGGGATTTTTACTCTGACATTATTAATATCTTATGACATGCTTTTGAGACATATGATCTATTTTTTTATGAAATAAGATAACTTGATGTTTTATTCTATAATTTGTTTTATGAATCGTTAAATCAAAAATGAAATTTTTGGTCTTAAATTTTGGGATGTTACAAGTTCGTATCAGAGCCTTGGTTTGAGGGATTCGGAGACACCTTTGGGGGTGTTTAGACTCAAATCGAGGGTTTGAAAGATTTTTTTTACAAGAAAATAGTTTTTCTAAAATTTAAAATAAAGAGTTTTGAGAAAGAACAAGGTGTGTGATGTGTGCAATCGGCCGAGCTCAAGTAAGTTTTCCCCAAGATACTCATACATGTTTGTTATGATATACGATCTGATTATGAGAACTACATGCTAGATTAGGACTGAGGATCTAGGAAGGATGCCTTATATTCCTATTGTATGTGTATGAGAACTGCATGCTAGATTAGGGCTAAAATCTAGGAAGATGCCTTATGTGTCTGCTATATGTACTTATTGAATTACATGGTAGGACTGATTAGTTAGTAATATTATGGCCTGAATAGGATATGCTTGGTTTGGTTACTCAATTCCCGAATGTTCTTGCTCTGTGCTTTTAGGAGTTCTTGTTATCTTTAACTAGTTAGTAAACAAATACGTTAAGTTACATATTATGTGAATAAATAATTTCAGAAGGTTAGGTCTAGCCCTATTTCACAGCTCTTGTTTGAGTCCAACCATTGTAGGGTAGGATCTCTCATTCGATGAATTATCTGGTTTTAGTGATATGTAATGGTATTCGCGAGCTAGTTAGGTAAAGGTAGTAGGGAGTTCTTATGCAGCTGATGGCGGAGAGTAGGTCGGAGAGTTACCCTAGGGTAAGCCTAGGATGAGATTAGTGTGATGATCAGTAGTAGTGAAAGGGACGTGGTGAAGTCAAGGCAATCTTTGAGGAAGGTACGGATAGATGTGGAAGGTAGTATGGGATCGTACTACTGAAAGAAGAGGATCTATACTTGAGTCAAGGAGGGCTGAGATAGAACCATGGAACTTATACAGTATGTGATACTCCTCATAGTTATGTATGACCTTGACGATTATGTGTTTTGTTTCAGAATGGTGGTGACATTTTTCCTATTTTTGTGCCCATTCCAGTTAAAGTTGGCTTTGCATATGAGTTCTGAGAGTTCTCAATTGGTTGCATAACAACTTGGAGGCAATAGTAGGCCCTTGTACTGCCAGGTGGAAAGAAGTTAAGACTGCAAAAGTTCAATCCATATGAGTTTGGATTTGTCACTAATCTTGTCTTGTGATTATGGTTTTGACAAATTCACATGGATAGGAACACATACACCATAAAATCTAAGTGTCATAATGTTTCTTTCCGATTCATGAAAAAAATGGTGAGGAAACGCTTTCATTAAGTAGATTTTAAGTAGATAGCAATTGTGATATTTGTATTCTCAAATTCATTAGTGGAGCATGTGTGGTTAACCGGCACACAAGGAAAGGTGTATGATTTTGATAAAGTTTTATCAAATCATTTCGTATCAGAAGTCTGAACTTTGGTAAGAAATTCAATAAAGTATTGATTTCTAGAAGTCCATCTAATTTCTGAGTACATGTCAAAGCTAGTGGGAGCATAAGTGTTATGCTAATAATCATCATGTTAGTGGGACTATGGGAGCATGATAATTATGATAAGTGTTGCAAGCTAGCAATATTAATTATAGAAAACAAAAGTTTCAATTGGGAAAAGTTGTTTTGCTATAATTAAAGGAGAGGAAATTATACTTCATTTCAATTCTAAAAGCTTAGATTGAGGTTTTAATCATCTTTAGTCAAGGATATATATATATATATATATATATATATATATATATATATATATATATATATATATATATATATATATATATATATATATATGAATTTTATGTTGGAATGGCTCAACATAAGGAAATTCTATATATGGGTCCATTATTTGCCTTCTAAAATTCAATTATGATTACGGCATCCCTTTTCATAATCTGAATTATGAGAACTTGGCAAATAGAAATATAAATATTATAGCAAAAGACTGGTCTAGTATCATATCTTTATGTGAGAGATCATGAAGCGTGTCTCATATGCTTCAGATATAGGATCGATTGCATGTGTTATAATATGCGTCTCTTCTAAATTTTTCGAAATGCCTAGAGCGTTAAGAGTGAAAAAGTACTAGAACGGGATATGACTAATTTTAGTAAGCAATTGTCGAGGACGATCTAAGGTTTACCAAAGATTGGTTGCTCAGGGACAGTTAGAAGTACAGTGTTAATTTTGGAAAGACCATATTGACATATTATGAAAAGAGGCAACTCTTGGTCAAAAGTAATAGTCAAAAGGGATAAGGTCACTGTAGCACATGGAACTTTTCACATTTGGCTAATTTGGTCCTTAACGTTTTTTTTGGTACATTAGACCATTAAACTCGTAACTAACCTTTTAATTACACCATTTTAGAAGGTTTCCCGGTTACAATGCTTATGTGGCACGCTGATGTGTCCAATAAGCTTATGTGGTCCAGTTGTCGATACAGGCTTATTAATTGAAACCCTCATTCGGACCTCCTTTCAATCTTTACTTACCCTTCTCTGAAAAGTCAAAGACTTCTCCCTCCCCGACTATTTCCATCCTGAAGAAGAATGTCTTCGAGCTCATCGACGTCAAGGAATCAGCTACAAGTCACTCATGTTCAGTCGCAAGAAGGGGTAAAGGTTTGTGATTGTGTCGTTCCAGCTAAAGAACGAATTTGTTGGAAGATAACAAACCCTGGGAGGTAATTCTGGAATTGTCAAAACAGTATGGTAGGTCCCGATTCTCTTGATTTTGATAAGTTAGTATTTTATGGTTTGATGTGTTGTTTCTTTCTGTAAAAACGACAATGGTGTATTTGTATTTTGTTTAATCTGTTAAAAACCCTAATTTTATTTCCTTCTTGACGATCACTGTGAATAAAACCCATTTCGCTGGTACATTAAAGGTAGTTGATTTGTGATTATTAGTCAAACCCTAATTTTATTGTCTTTTTATAGACTAGGTTGAGGAAATGTAGCTTCTTTGAATGGAAAGATGAAGAACAGGCAGACGGGTACTATAAAAACCTTCTATATTCTCTGAAGCAGAAACTGGATGCCAAAGATGAAATATCTGAGATGAACAATTTGAGGAGAAGGATTGCTGTAGTGGAGTTTTTGTTGTCACAGGAGCAGTATAAGGTGGCAAAGAGTGAGAAAGAAGTTCATGATGCAATGAAGTCAATAGGCAGGTACAGGATGATAGTTGCCCTGTTTTTTGGTTGCTTGGTCCTATGTGTTTTGAAGTTAGGGGGGTCAATGTAGTTAGTTTGGTTGGTTAGGGTAATCTTTTGGTTTTTTGGGATCCCTTGTATTTTTTGTAAAGGCAGACTAGAAAGTCAGTTCCATAAGGGCATTTTGTATGTATTGAAGCTGGTTTTAGTTATAAGTTGGGGTTATCAACCTTAATGTGTTGATGTTGTAAGGTGGTAAGTCCCTAATGAAAGGGCATATGATAAGTAATGTAAAAAAATATTCAAAGTCCCAATTGTAGGGCATTTTGTATAATCAGATGATGTTTATCAAACATATGCATGGTCTATATTCCCAACAAATATATTTAATTGGGAAGTGGTCCATGTGGAAGTACACTATGTGTATGGGGACCATTTTAATAATGAAAAAATAGGACATGTGAAGCCATTAAAAAACCAAATCCGGGGCCATATAAAACATCCCCATGCATGCACATTATTCCAATTTTTTCCATACATAAATATTCAAAGCCAATGTCATGATTTTACTTAAAATGGTAACATACTTTCATACTTCATGTCATACATAAATAAATGACCAACATACCCTTTTCTTGCATACATAAATAAATGACCAACATACCCTTTTCTATCATACATAATTAAATAACCAAATCACCCTTTTCTTACATACATAAATGAATGACCAAATTACCCTTTTCTGTCATACATACTTAAATGAACAAATTACCCTTTTTCTTGCATACATAAATGAATTACCTACATACCCTTATCTGTCATCAATAAATAAATGACCAAATTACCCTTTTCTGTTATAAATACGGAATGACCAAATTACCCTTTTCTTGCATATATAAATGAATTACCTACATACCGTTATTTGTCATCAATAAATAAATGACCAACATACCCTTTTCTGTCATAAATACTTAAATGACCAGATTACCCTTTTTCTTTCATACATACTTAAATGACCAAAATACCCTTTAATGTCACACATACTTAAATATAAATTACCAACATCCTATTACATAAACTTTAAATATAAATTACCATCATCCTATTACATAAACTTAAAATCCAATTTATCATCATCCCATTACATAAACTTTAAACACAAATTACAATAAACACTAATCAATTAAAAGAGCTTTTCCCTTCGAATTTCCTGGATCATCAACACCACCAATTGTTTTGCCTAATTTCAGCTTTAGTATTCTCTCTAACTTTCTTCTCCTTATCCTCTTCAAAATATCTGAAATTGGCCTAACACAAACCTGCTGAACTTGGTTAACAGGAGAAACCTCCTGAACATTACCATTATCCACTTGGGCATTATGATTAACCTCATCAACCTCCTCAACCTCCTCATCTTGAACAACTTGCTCAACCACAACAGCTTCCTCAACCACATCAGCTTCCTCACCCATAACACCCTCATCACCTTCATAACTTCTAGGTGGAGTGAATTGCACATATTGAATAAAATCCCCTGCACTACTAGATTCAACATCAGTAGGAGCAACTTGCATATCATTTTGAGTAGTATCCATCTCAATTGGAGTCATTTCAACCTCTTCATGTTATTTTGGTTCACTTGTACTACCCTACATGGCATGATATAATTATATTAGTAACAAATTATATGTAATTAATCTTATATTTTAAATTGTTTTACCTGTCCTGCATTTTGGTTCACACATACTTTTTGTTTCTTCTGTTTCTTCACATTTAACTTTTGGGGCCTTCTCTGTGGACAAGTGGCCTTGTTGTGACATATCTCCTTGCAAATACTACATCTGATTTTCTTTCCAGCCTTAGAAACCCTGTGTGTTCCTGTATTCTCTGTAGTGGATTTCTTCTACTTAGTAGTTGGCCTACCAGGCATCCTTCTATTAATAGGAGGCAATGGTGGAGTATAGTTTGTCTCTGGCCACATGTCACTGTTATTCATGGGAGCAATTCTGTAATTGTTTGCCTTTCTAAATGTGGTTGTGCTAAACATGTTGTCTACATAGGCTTCTACATCCCTATTAAGAAAGGATATGCTAGCTACAGAATGAGCGCATCCATATCCATTCAATTGCCACAACCTACATGAGCATGTTTTTCTTTCTAAGTCCACCTCATATGCATCTATTGCTCCCCTTACCTCAAACTGGTTTAATCCACTTGGTAGCGAAAGACTGGTAATGTATCATGTCTTTATGTGAGACATTATGAATCGTATTCCATATGTTTCAGATATAGGATTGATTACATATGCTATAATATTAATTTGTTCTAATTTTCCTAATGCCTAGGGCATTAAGAGGGAAAAGGGACTAGAACGAGATATGCCTAAAATGGTTAAGCAATTGTCGAGGACAATCTGAGGTTTACCAAAGATTGGTTGCTTATGGATAGATGGAAGTATAGTATAAGTTTTGGAAGGTCCAAATTGAAAACTTCTGAGAAGAGGTAATATTGACAACTTCTGAGAAGATGTAACTCTTGTTCAGAAGTGCTAGTCATATGGAATTATGGAAATGTTCCATAAGTGGAAGTTAATCATAAAATATGTGTAAGATTTGAAACCTTAATGCGAGAAGGATGTTTAAAGGAATGTACTTTGAATATGAGACTTCGCTTCCATGGAACTGGTCCAGTTCCAATGTCCAAAGGGAATACTTTGTAATATCATTGGCATAGTCTTTGTGATCTTCGTGCATTGACATTACAAAAGGATTATTGCATTTACGTTTCGAATCTAACAGATTATAGTAATTGGCAAGAATTTGGTATTCTTACACTTACTATAAGGATTTGGATTGAGAAATGAGTATCATTGGAAATGGTTATAATTGATTTATTTCACAAAGTAAGTACCATAGGTAAACATTGTGTGCATGCTTCGAGCATGGGATAACTATTGTTCTAATTCAAATATTAAGTTGATTAATCAAAACATTATACAATGAATAATATGTAATCAATATGGTGATTAAATAAAAGGTGTTTTAATTATATTCATAAGTTTTGAGACCATATTGGATTCGATTATTCTTGTGTTTCACTTTGCATGTTTTGACTTCCAGAATAATAAGATTATTCAAACTATCCACAATCGATAATACTTTGGAAGTAGGTATTGAGGCAACATTGTCATGAATATGACTGTAGATTGTCTAGGTGTTTTAGACATAGCACAAGTTTGCTGCAGTGTTCATGAGTACTCCTGGAATAAGATTCGAGTATTAGATTAAACCCATGCTTATCTGAATCACTTCATGGATTTCATCACGAGTGATTGTGAGATGATAATATCTTATATTCTTGAAACAGAGACATATAGTTTCACTTTACAACTCGGTTTCACATTGATGATATGTAAACACACCAGTAACTCAGTGTTATAAAACGTATCATTGTGTGTGATTTGATGAGTAAATATATCAAGCATATGAATCGAAGTTTATCCATTCCTTATACCCTTAGAGGGATAAAAGCGATATATGTGGGCCCCTCGATGATTTAGTGATGACACCTGAAGTGCTTGGCCAAGCCTGGACTGATTTGATTTGTTATCAGAAATCGGGAAACAACAGATGGATAGAGAGAATGATTATAATCCATGTCTCAGTCCATATGATATCTTGTAGAATGGAGGAATATATGATCCCTTATCTAATGGACGCGTCATTGACTGAGTTAAAGTTCGACAGCGGCTTTTAAGAGCTACGATTGCTAGTCGGGATTTTGGAGTCATACTTGCAATAATAGTTATTAGACTTATCCAAGTAGGAAACTGTTGGATTAGGTGTCTAAGCTCATAACTATAATTGGTATGTACTTGAACCGATAGTAGCATGGTCCATTTCAGGTTGCATATCACCAGGACAATTTGATAGTATGGATATTTGAGTAAGAGGTTATTATGAATTACTAATATATTACAAGTATAATATATTAATATGAAATCATATTATTTAATTAGTATTGATCAAGAATTAATTTAGTGATCAAAAGAGACTAATTAAATCAACGGGGACTAATTATGTAAATTAGTGATATATCTATATATATTGTTTGGGATATTGATCCATGATGGGCTAAGTTTATGTAAGTATTCATGAAGAAATAACCCACATGAGATATGGATCATAACCTAAATGTATGGATTAGGGTTTACCCATGACTCTTGGATTCCTACACTATATATATATATATATATATATATATATATATATATATATATATATATATATGACACCCCTTAGCATAAAATTAGAGACTAGTGTTCTTGGAGTTCATATAGCCGATTTTTGAGCTTAGTAACGTCTCTATCAAGTTCTCCTTTGTTCATGGTGTGTTGTGAAGAGGCATCACACTTGGGGTGCTAAGTTCTTAAAGGCCAGATACATCAAGCTACAACAAAGAGGTAATCATCTAATATGTTTTTATGATTCAAGTATCAAATTGTATGCTAGTTGTAGGCTTCATGCTTTGGATATTCTATTGCATGTATAACTAGAGAAAACTTAGATCCAGAGCATTTAGGGTTGTATGCGCACCATAAGATGTTGTAGTACATAAAACCCAACAGATCGTACCAAAAGTACGTTGGGCGTACACCAATCAGACCCAAACCCTATTTTAGGGTCTTGGACCCTATTTAAGCTGCTTATCTCATCATTCAACCCTAATATCTTCAGCGTCCATCCCTTTAAACCATAGAATTGAACCTTAGCCCCCATTTGATTGGTTTTTGAGCTATTGGTGGTATTTCAAGCTTTTTAGTGTTCATAGAAGAAGAAGGAATTTCTTAGAGAAGTGTGGGATGGCTTGAAGCTTTTGGATCCAGGATTTTTGCATCTTGATCTATATTTTAGAGGTATAAAGTTTCTATATGGAGTATTTTGTGTTTTTTGGAGTCTTTTGTGATAAAGATGTGTTTTTGATCTACTCCGGAAGCAATGGATGCTAGATCTTAGCTCCATTCAGTCGCAAGGTTCATAAAAAGGCAAGCTTTGTGATTTATTGTGGTCCATGCAAGCATTAAGACCTTTGTTAAGTCCATGTTGAGCTTTTGAGTCCCTTTTTGTTATGCAAGCAAGTAAAGTTGCCAACTTTACATGATAAGTAGTCTTATAGAATCAGATTCGAGAGTTTGGCACTTTATCTTAACCGATTAAGGGCTTATTGGAGTGAAAAGGTGGCTGGAGGAGTATGATATGCGTACTTAAGAGTGCGCTCAACGTAATGTTGAGTTTGTGCATTATGGACTTGTACAATATGCTTCAGGGGCGAGTACGCGGGGCGTACCATTTTGGTACACGGGGCGTACTCCCCAGTGTGTCGTTTTGGGCTTATTGAGGATGGATCATTGTTGGGTTTTCTTGGTTGGGCTATTAGACTTCTATGTTGGGCTTTTGGTTTGTCTCTTTTGGTCTCCTTTGGATTTAGGCCCATGATGGGTTTTGGGGGCCCAATTTGGAAGATTTGGTCATATTGGGCTTTAGAGCATCATTTAGGAATTAGGCCTCGAAAGTAGCTGAGTTGGGCCTTAGCTTTGGGCCTAACGAGTCAAAGGGTAGAATGGTCTTTACCCTAGTTTTGGGGTATGTAGCTTTGAATCTTGGTTATGGGTCAGAATTCATATATTAATTTGGATGTTATCCTGGTTTATTGTATGATTGTTATGTTGTAGTGTTCTGTTAGATATGTATCCTAGTAGATAGGATGTTTCTATGTTGTAGTGATCTGTTAGATCTGTATCCTCGTAAATAGGATGTTGCTATGCTATAGTGATCTGTTAGATCTGTATGTTTACCGGTATATGCTAGCTTTGGTTGATTATGTTACATGTTGATATGTGATGGTGTATTGGGTTGAGGCAGTCCTGCTGTACGCAGAAGGCCAAGAGACCCAGGGCGGTCCAAATAGACTGAAGGCCTGCAAGGTGGACCGGTCAAGCCGAAGTCCAGGAGGACAGTCCAGATAGGTTGAAGGCCCGTGCGGCGGTCTAGTCATGTTGAAGGTCTTGTGAGCGGTCCAGATAGGCTGAAGGCATGTAAGGCGGTCCAGTCATGCTGAAGGCTAAGTATGCATGATATTTATTATTATTATATGTATTATGTGTTGGTACTTTTGGGGAAAGCTCACTAAGCGTTGGTTTACAATTTTGGGTTTTGTTTCAAGTACTTCAAAGGATCGCGGGAAGGTGAAGGCATAACCGTATGTTGGTGATTTTATATCATTAATGTTATTTAAGTGTAATGGGGGTTAATTTGTTGATTAATGTCACTTTGACAATTATTGAACAAATCAGTATGGTGCGGAGTGCACATTTTTTTAATATTGTCTTTGTTGAAAGTATATTGCTATTTAGGGGCAAAGCCACTGAATCGATGGGAGGTACGGGGGCAACTCCCCTGGGAGCGGGATCCAAGGGGTGGCAGATTGAAGACAGGATGTTTTTCTGGTTATATGATCATATGGCAATTTAAAATGCATCATAAATCCAGATTTTGGAAAATGTACCCGATTTTGTGATCCATCTTCTAAACCCGGATTTAAGTTGGTTTAT